CCAGGGCTGCCCCTGGCTGAAGGCCCTGCCCAAGGTCAGATGCACCAGTGGAAGGTGGTTTCGTAGCACCTGGCTCAGAGGTGGCGCAGTGTCGGCGGGGCTGTGGGACCCGGGGCTGCCATTTCAGATCCGCTCAGTGCGAGGTCATAGTCCCAGGGCTGCGTCGTGGACAGGTGGGCCAGCGCCCACTTCCTCTCCGGCTCAGGCTGCTCCCGGGCCCCACCCGCTCGTCTCACAGCATGAGGGCAGCTCTGCGCTCCTGGCCCCCACACCGCCCCCCAGGCTGGCCGCCCCCCACAGGGCCTGAAGCAGCAGCCGGGCGGGTGGCATCCCCAGCAGAGACCAATGGCGATCTGCCACTTCTGAACACTCCTCCCGCGGTCCCCAGAGAGAGTGGAGTGAGCGGAGAGCGGTCACCAGAGGCAGTTGGTGAGTAATGGACACAGGGCTGCTCGCCGCCCCGGGAGCCGGGGGTGCGGGGGAAAGCCACTCCGCAGCCTGTCCGGCCCTGAGAGCACTGTAGAGAGTGGTCAGGCCCCGCGGCCGGAGGCGGGCGCTGCCCCAGGCAGAGGCCTGCTCTCCTCCTGAAAAGGCAGGAGGTCTGCCAGGGCCACCACAAACCCCCCCGCGCGGCGCTGCCCCAGGCAGAGGCCTGCTCTCCCCCTGAAAAGGCAGGAGGTCTGCCAGGGCCACCGCAACCCCCCTCCCACACGCGGCGCAGTGGTGGACTCCCCGGGACTCAGCCCAGGAACCGAGGGAGGAGGCAAACAACACGTCTACATTTTTTATGGCGGCAACAGAGCTAAGCATGGGAATGAGCCAACTCCAGGGGCCAGAACAAGGCGGTAAAAAAAAGGATAACGCAGACACGATGCAACAGGGAAACACACTCTGTGAGTCAGGGGAAGAGGAGCGAGGACTTTGCGCCGGGTCTAACGACACAGGCCTGGCAGCAGCAAGAAGACAGGACAGCCCTGGCCGGGCGGCTCAGTGGGTGGAGCATCGTCCCGCGCACCAAAAGGCTGTGGATTCGATTCCTGGTCCGGGCAAGTATGGGAGGCAAACTATCAATATCGATGTTTCTCTCTCTCTCTCCCCCTTCCTCTCTCTAAAAATCAATAAAAGCATGTCCTCGAGTGAGGATTAGAGGGGAAAAAAGATAAGATAAACAAAGAGTCATTGCAGCCAGCGGGTGGGGTGGTGGGGGAACGTTCTGGAAATGAGCGATGCTTCTGCGAGCATTTTTAATAAAGGAGAGGAAGCGTCTGCGTACAGAGACGCTGACAAGAGAGGAACATGGGAAATTAGAATCTGTTGATCTGCTCAGTGAAAAGCTAAATTTAGACGGCGCGCTGTTCCAGGGACGTGTCATGTTATCTCACTCAGTCCTCACAGCCTCCCACGCGGGGGTGTTTGGACCCCTTCACGGGTAAGGAGTCTGGGGCTCTCGGGAGAAGGAGCCCCCCTAGGGTGAGGGTCAGGGTGAGGCTCCCCCAACCTGCTTCTGACGAACCCTGAGCCCGAAGCCGATAAACAAGGGGTCAGGTCCCCAGGCCTCGCGGCTGGCCCAGGCCAGTCCTCACCACCCACCCCCCGCAGCTCCCCCGAGAACCCGCAGCAAATTCTAACTACACCCAACTCCGTCCGTGCAGGCACAGGCCACACCAGGAAGGACCGTGCGCCGTTCAGACAACATTGCAGGTCCGCTCATTTCCCGTCTCCCTGCGCTGAGAGGCTGCAGGGACCCGGCCTTCCGGACACCTCGGCCCTGCAGACGCCGACACGCAGGAGGGGGGCAAACAAGGGGCTCAGGACCCGCTCGGGGGGCGACAAGACTCCAGGGTCTCTGTCCGCTCTGCAGCCAGGGGACCCATCCTCAGACCTACAAGAGGGCCCCCCCCTTTGCCAGGCCAGTGTGCTCAGTGGTTGAACGTGGACCTATGAACCAGGAGGTCACGGTTTGACTCCTGGTCAGGGCACAGACCCAGGTTGCGGGCTCAATCCCCAGTATAGGGCATGCAGGAGGCAGCCAATCCATGATTCTCTCTCATCATTGATGTTTCTATCGCTCCCTCTCCCTTCCTCTCTGAAATCAATAAAAGTATATAGATTTTTTTTAAAAAGAGGGGCCCCTCCCCAGGTGCCTGCCCTGACACCGAGCCTGGAACACAACCCTCACAGAGCAGCCAGGAGAAGAGAATTCGCTGGAACCGTGGCGCTCACACCGTGTCCACTCCCGTCCCAACAACGAACCGCCTGACCCGCCACCGGAGGGGCCACCCGAGAGCGTCCCTCCGGCCTCCCCTTGGTGGGCGAGTTGCTTCAAGGCTCAAATGAAAATCAACCAGGACATAGAGTACTGGGGGGAGCGGGGGGCAGAGAGCGTCTGTCCTCTCTCTAGGACTCCATCCGAGGCTGGAAGGACCGGAGGACAGGCAGGTGGGCCCGGGGGCCGGCCACGCTGCGGAGCTGGTGGGAGGCGTGAGAAATCTCAGGGCTGCGTGAGTGGCTCGTCCCCACCTCGGCCTC